GAAGGTTGAGGCAAGGAAGATTGTATGAGCCCAACCTGGGCAACTTTGTGACTTAGTGAGACCCTGGGTCAGAACAGGACTGGGGAGGGCCAGGGATTTAGCTCAGTGGTTCTGCTGCCTGCCTCGCAAGCACAAGGTCCTGAGTTCAATCCCTGGTACCAGAATAAAATAAAATAAAGGACTGGGGATATATCTGAGTGGGAAGAGACATAGTTCAGAGTTCAGTTCCTAGTACTGTTAAAAAAAAACTCAAAAAAGAACAACAAAACAAGCTGGGCATGGTGACATATGGGTGTAAACCCAGCACTCTGGGAGGCTGAGTCAGGAGGATGTCAGGGAGGTTGAGGCCAGCCTGGGCTGCATAATGAGTTCAAGGCCCTGTCTTGAAAACAAAAACAAACAATTTTAAGTCAGTGAACATGAATATTTTTCCCTTTATATAGGTTTTTAATTTCTTTCACTAGTGTTTGAGATTTTTTTGAGTTTTTAATGTATATGTAATCTCACAATTTGTTAAATTTATTCTTAAGTATCTTATTCTTTTTAATATATTGTGAATGAAATTTTTTTTTTGACTTGTTCTTTGCTAGTGTATAAAAATAACAGTAAATTTTGTATACAGATCTTGTATTCTGCAATTTTGTTGAGCTCATTTTGTTTCCAGTAGGTTATGTGGATTTTTTAGGATATTCTACATCAAGATGATTGTACATGAATAAGATCAGTTTTATTTCTTCCTGTCAGAGTAGATGTGTTTTCTTTCTTTTTCTTGACTGCCTGGACTGGCTGTATTCAGTGGCAGTCAATATCTTTTTTTTTTTTTTTTTGGAACCGGGGATCAAACTCGGGACCTTGCGCTTGCGAGGCAGGCGTTAGAACCACTGAGCTAAATCTCTGGCCCAAGAATATCTTTTTTTAAAAAAATAGTTTTGATTATATGTAATGGGTAAGGATCATCTTCTGCACAAACACCAGGTCCCATCCAACAGCAGGAAGCCCCTTATAGGACTTTGCTTTAACTGATCAGGGTTATCCCTGGAAACAGGATAGGATAAAGTCTGTTGTGGTTAACAGTCCCAAAGTCTCTTTCCTTTCATAGCACGTGTTTATCATGGGTTGGTAGGGGTCAGCTCCTTATAGTTACTCAGGGACTAAGGCTGACAGAGTAGGTATCTCAGATGTTTTGGGTTTCTCTGCCAAAGTGGAAAAGAAGTCTGGAAGATCTTATACTGGTAATTAAATGCTGTGCCCTAGAGGCAACATACATCACTTCCTGCTGAAAGTTATTGGCCAGGCCATAGCCTACTGTAGGGGGTTCCTTAGTGTAGTCTTTCCTTGTGCTCAACATGAGAAGAGCTGGAAATACTGGTTGTAAACACAAAAGACTATTACACCACCCAAGTTCAGGTTACTGTCATTGGTTTTCTGGATTAGCTTCTTAGTAGGTCTTGTTGTCGGGTAGTTCCTTTAGAAATGGCTCGCCAATCAGAAGTATTCCAGGTCCTTCTTGCCTTGAACAAAGAATTGGACCAGACAAGCCAAAAACGGTACCAAAAGTTTGTTTGAAAAGTGAGGGATGAAGGGATAAGGGAAGAACTAGCTCTATAGAGCGAACTTGGGCTGGACAAAGAGGAAAAGATAAAAACAAAAATAAAAGTGCACTGTGTATCTTGGAGGGCTATCTGGAAGAGTCAGGATAGTGGGCTCCTCCTGGCATCCTGTCTCTTATGCTGTCCACGTCTCATGGGAACCCTTGAGATATTTCACATACAAGGTCCTGGGAATTATTTGGTGCTGTTCTGGGATCTTGTAATGGACAGGTCCTGTTTATTTCCCCAGCCCGCTTTGCCACGCCCTATCTCATATACCATCCTGGTTTAGAATCTTTTTTGTTCATTTGTCATTCAGTTGTCATTGATTTTTCTAATCTGATTGTCACACTCTGCTTAAGCTATCATTGTTTTTCGTGTAAAGTCTGTCTTGTATTGTATCCTACATGCCCTATTGCATCCTTCCTCTCCTTGACTCACTGTTCTTGTTCTTTGTCTTAGTGATACAGTACTTGTCACCTCTGTAATGTGCTTTACTCTTTTGTCTCTTGGCTTTTGCTCATATTTATTTCCTTTTCCTAGAACCTTTTTCTTTTTTTTTCCCTCCTCCTCTTCTTTGGCTAACTCCTATTCAGCTTAAAAGTCTTAATACACTAGTGACCCCTTTATCCTTGGAGGCTGTGTTTCAAGACCCCCAGTGAATGCCTGAAACTGGATAGTACTGAACCGTATATATAATTTGTTTCTTCCTACTTTTTTTTTATCCTGGTACCGGGAATTGAACTCAGGACCTTATGCTTGCAAGGCAGACTTGGTGCCACTGAGCTAAATCCCCAGCCCTGTTTTTTCCTACTCTTACCTATGATACATTTGATGAATTTGGCACAGTAAGAGATTAACAACTGCAATAGTAAGATACAACAGCATACTGTTGTAAGAGTTATGTGAATGTGGTCTCCTATTTTCTCAAAATATCTTCTTGTACTGCATTCTTCTTGTGGTGATATGGAATCTTACAATACCTGTGTGGTGAGATGACGTGAAGTGAGGTGAATGATATAGACACCGTGAAATAGTGTTAGGATACGACCTAAGGTTGCTGGAACACAAGCACTATAATACCATAATAGTTATCTCAATCTAGACAGCTACTGAGTGACAATACAGTGTTGATACACTGGATCATGAGCTAGATCCCTGACCTGAGATGAACAGAGCAGGACACAGATTTTATCATGTTACTCAGCACAGTGGGCCATTTAAAACTTATAAGTTGTTTAGATCTGGAATTTTTCATTTAATTTCTTAGGATCATAGGCAATTGAAAACATGGAGAGCACAGCCATGGGTAAGGGATATGATACTCTCATTCTTCATCCTGGATTCTGTACTTAATCTTTGGGTTCTCATAGCACTTAACACCCACTGACAAAGCTCCTGTGAAGCATTATTGTAATAGTGTGCTTACTTGTTTGCCGTTGTACCCTTGATATCTGGCCTAATCTTTCACAGGTAGTAAGCACTGAATATTTATTGAATGGCCAAATAAATTACAGAATAGGGTGAGGAAAAATTGATAGTGTACATTATCAAACAGTTTAGTTATTAAAGGATCCATCTGTGGTAAGTACCACAACCTTAATGAAGATGTGGTTTCTTCCCCCCACCAAATAAAAATATGGAACTGTTCATCAATTTGTGCATCACCCTTGTGCAGGGGCCATGGTAATCTCTGTATCATTCCAATTTTAGAATGTGTACTACCAAAGAAAACATGAAGATGTGGTTCCACCGCCTGCCTCGCATATGTATTTTAAGTTTCCGAAGTCCTTTGAAAGTTGGTTACATTGTTTGCATTTGTTAGAAGAATTATAAAAGAAAAATACTTAGTGGAAAAGTGATTTTGGCTGTCCATTATGGATTTTTTTTTTTTTTTAAGATGGTCTTATGTATTCCAGGTGACCTTGAACTCACTATATAGCCCCAGCTGGCCTTGAACTTGTGGAGATCTTCCTGCCTCAGCCTGCCAAGTGCTGAGATTTAATTATGTCCAACTTCTTTTTTTTTTTTTGGTACCAGGGATCAAACTCAGGACCTTGTGCTTGTGAGGCAGGCAGCGGAACCACTGAGCTAAATCCCTAGCCCTGGGATTTAATTATGGATCTTTGAAAATAATAGATGTCTGTTCCCCTTTCTTCACTACCTCATTAAAAACACAAACACAAAAACAAAATCCCCAAATCCCATTCCATCAGTAATAGAGATAGAGTCTTTTACAATCTCTAGCACTCTCTTCTCCCGCACAGTTCTCTTAACATGTCAGCTGTCCCAGTTTTTCCATATTTGTTTTCAGGCTTTACTTGTATGCATGTAAATATGTAACAATATCTAAATTTTGTTAAAAGTTTTATGTTATGAATTTATTTTTCACTTCACATACTCAGTGTTTTTCTGTTTTGTCATAGGATTCAGTAATTTTTTAATAATCTATTGATGTGTCACATTTAAAGATTTAGGTGTTTTTTTTTGGATACTGGGGATCAAACTCAGGACCTTGTCCTTGTGAGGCAGGTGGCAGCACCACTGACCTAAATCCCTGGCCCTTTTGAATAATGGCATAAACATCTTTGTACTATGTGCTTTCTTCTTTTGGACTAATTTTGCAGAATAAATTTCTAAGAGTATCATTTCTGGTCTAAGGGTAGTGTAGTGGTTACCAGCATGCTTTGCTTTGCCTCAAGGCTAATGGCAAAGCAGTGTTAATGTGGTAAAATGATATCTAGACAACCCTTGGAATTTTCATGAAATAAAACTTTCACACTTCTGTTTGTAAATAAAAATTTGTAGAGTAGGGCTTGAATTCAGGACCTCACATTAAACTACATGTCCAGACTTATTCTTCTTTTGAGACAGGGTTTTTCTAAGTTGCCCAGTCTGGCCTAAAACTCGGGATGCTTTTGTCTCACTCTTCTGTGTAGGTGGGGTTACGGGTGTGTGCCACCGTGCCCAGGAGAACTATCATGTTTCTTTGCCTCTAATAAATAGCTTATTTTTACTCGTTTTGCAGTCTTTTCTACATTTGATTTATTAGTCCTTAAGAGAGTGAATGTGAGAGGTAAAACAAAAGAATAAGCTCAAGAATTGCTGTTTGGGAGATGTAATAGTAAGTTTTGGTTTGAAAATAGTCTAGGCTTATTCTAGATTGTGTATGTCTTACTAAACAGCTGGTCAGTTGGATGATTTTATGCAGGTATGCTTGTGTTGTTTCTGTTTTGAGACTTTAATAAAATTCAAATCATTAAAATATGTCATTTTCAATAAATTAGAAAATATTGCTATATTATACACTTAGGGACTTTATGTGTAAATGGAAGTATTTTGGATTTAGAAACGCATCTACAATAACATTTTTGTTATGCATATACTATTTAATCTATATAAATTGTTTGGGTATACATTATTTTAGCATTAATAACTTTGGTTATGTTTTCCAGTTTACCTTTTGCTGCTCAATATTGAGAACTAGGAATTTTATTCAGTTTTTGAAGTGTCATTAAATATATTGGTAAATTCACATTTATGAAGTTTTACTGTATATTTAATGTAAGGTACATATACACACACCCACACAAAGTGCGTATTTCACTTGTGTTTTCTTCTACTGGAAATCTTTTAATCATTTGGAGTCAGAATCAGCTTTGTAGTATCAGTTGGCCTCAGGAAATTTTCCTTTTTCTCAGAAGAGGCTGAAGTCTGCTTTTAAAGATTTTGTTCCTGTTCTAGAGCGGGCTAAACCACTTCAGTATCACGTTTTCTGATGTTGTCCATCATACTTCTAAGAGGGTTAGGTTCACTTTTCAGGTCTTTCACAGTTTTGTTTTTTACACAGCAGCAGCAGTCAAGCACTTCATACAGGAAAGCTAGTACCACCAAAGATACCACGGTGAATATAAATAAAAGCAGGATGACAAAGCAGGCAGTGTTCCAGTTATCATGAAAAGGGTAAATTTTTTGTACTTGAAAACCAAGGTACTGATAAACAGAAGTAGTGGTTTCATTCCATTGGCTGGAAGCCATTCTGAGAGATTCTACGTCTTGGGTTGCTCTTTTGAATCTGCAAAAAGGTAGAAAGTGAATACATGTGACCAAACTACAGGTTTGTCCATTCCAATCTCAGTACTAAGATTTCTTGGTAATTTACATAGGTATGAATTTTCCTTATTGCCTAACAGAATTAGTGATAGTATTGTATTTTTTTGTATATTCCAAATATTTAAATTCTGTTCTATTTTTATGTATTATCATTTGACACATAAATATTTGCATTTTAGATTCATATACAAGGGGCTGGGGATTTAGCTCAGTGGTTTTGCTGCCTGCTGCGCAAGTGCAAGGACCCAAGTTTGATCCCTGGTACCAAAAAAAAAAAAAAGATTCATATACAAAAACTAATGTAAGGGGAAATGGGGCACTGGATTGGTTGAAAACTTAACTAAAGCAGTGGTCATTGAACCACAGTCTGTAAGAAGTCTTGATATTTTAAGGTTGTGTTCTTCAGAGTGCCCTGGAAAAGCATTGTCATTGCCCTATGGCTTTTCTTACCTTCTCAGTTCACTGTATTTCTGCTTTCTATTTCTACACCTTTAAACTTCAATAACAGGTGATCTGAATCAGGAAATAGAGACTTACGGAAAAGTAGTGGAGAAAAAAGAAAAGCCAAATGATAGCTTTCAGAATAAGGATAAATAAAATTTTGGCAGTGGTGCCTGAGAAGCACCTTAATCTTGAGATTATTCTCTAGACAATAATCTTATTTTTCACATACCTAAAAATGATGTTTGGACACTAATATTTAAAAATATAGACAAATTTGGCCTTCATATAGTTAGTAGTTAGTATTACTTCCTTTCACACAATAAGCTAGTGAGTTAGACTTCAGTATTCTTGCATTGTATTTTGCTTGTGTTTACCTGATATTTGTTAGACTTTAAATGGGAATGTAAGGATTGAAATTTGATAGTATAGAAACTAAATGAATTTAGATTATTTTGATCTTTTCAAATATATTTTAAGGTAATTTCTAAAATCACACACCTATTTGGAAATAAACGTAATTCCATTATTTGGAAAAAACATTTAATCAATTGATTGTCTTTTTTTTTTTTTTTTTAAGACAAGGTCTTGCTGCGTACTTCAGGCTGGCCCCAAATTTGAAGTGATCCACCTGCCTCAGCCTCCTGAGTGCTGGGATTACAGGCATGTGCCACCATACTCGGCCCAGTTCTCTTTTCTTAACTCGTTGATTACTATCATTGTGTGTGTCTTTTCCTTTTTTTGTGCTGGGGTTGAACCCAAGGCCTTTGCACTGAGCTGCATCTCTAGTCCCTTATTTTTTATTTTGAGACAAGGTCTCAGTTACTAAATTGTCCAGGCTGGGCTTTACTTGCAGTCCTCCTGTCTCAGCCTTCCATAGTGTTGGTATTACTACAGTGGTGCCTTGGTTCATGAACTCAATTCTGTCCATGATGCTGGTTGCAAACTCAACTGGATGAGAATGAATCAAGTTTCCCCATAAGGTTCAACATTGAACTTAACCATTGAATTTGAGTTGGTTCTTGTCCAACTCGGTTTGCAATTGGAGTTCTGGGAAGAATCGAGTTCATGAGTGGAGGCACCACTGTATTTTGTTTTAAGACCGTCTTGCCAAGTTATCTGAGTTAGCCTTGAACTTTAGCTCCTCCTGCTTCAGTCTCCATAGTAGCTCAGATTACAGGCCTGTGCCACCACACCCAGCTGTATGCATTTTCTTTACTACATATTTGTAAACAAGCTTTCATTCACCCTTACAGAAAATGTTTATTTCTTGCCTACTGTGTACCAAATACTTTTCTAAATTCTAGAGGTGCCTTTTGTGCATCTGTTTCATGTAAAGAAACTTCATGGTAGTGCAGAAATCTAAGAATGTGTGAGCTGGGCATAGTGGTGCATGCCTGTAATCCTAGCACTTCGGTAGGCAGGAGGATCACAGGCTGAAGCCTGGGGCAGTTAGTGATCCTATCTCAAAATAAAAAAGGACTGTATATATATAGTGCAGTGCAAAGGTTCTGGGTTTAATTCACAATACTGAAGGGAGGGTGGGGAGGAGTGTAATGAAGCCTCCTCCATATGCTTATAATACAACTTCATTTATCAACTCTTTTTTATTTTTTTAGTTTTCTGAGATAGGGTCTTGTTATTCAGGGTCGACTTAAACTCACTATGTAGGTGGTGATTCTCCTGCCTCAACTTCCGGAGTGCTGGGATTACTGGTATGTGCCACCACAGCCGGCCATTTATCAACTCTTGGCCCTATGTACTTCTTTCCACTTGTTTAACCCTGTGGGTGGGTTATTTATTTATTTATTTTGGTACGGGGGATCAAACTCAGGACTGTGCACGTGTGAGGCAGGCAGCAGCACCACTGAGCTAAATCCCCAGCCCATCCTGTGGGTTATTTTAAAGCTAGTCCCATACATTATTTGATCTAGAAATATTTCATTTATCTCTAAAAGCTGAGGACTGCTTTTAAACATAAGCACAATATTATTTGCACACTCAAAGCCATAACTATATTTGTTTACATTTCCTTGCTTTTATTATATATAGAATTTTAAAGCCTTGAAGTTGACCAGAAGTCTCCTTCAGGCCCCACCTGAGTCAGTAGCCCCATTCCCAGAGGTTATCCCTGTTGGTCACTGAGGATTTGATGTTCCTGTTCATGGAAATGGAGCTATACACAGCCTCTTGGTGTCTCTTTTTCCTCTTAATATAAAGTTGGTGAAATTTATCACTGTTGCATTATCAGTTCATTTTTAGTTGCTGTGTAATATTCCATGGTCTGAACATACTGCAATTAAAAAATTCCATTCTGTTTTTTGTTTTTGTTTTTGTTTTGTACTGGGAATTGAACTCAGGACATTGTACTTGTGAGGCAGGCATAGTGCCACTGATCTAAATCCCCTGCCTCCATTCTCTGTTTAAAAAAACAAAACTTTGGGATTGATAAAGTTTTGTTTTCTAAGGTTTTATTTTCTATCTTAAATCAAGTTTACTTGGCAAATTGCTTCACCTCTCTGGCTGGACTTTCTTTTTTCCTTCTTGCATTTTGAAGGTTAAAATGATGAAGCCTTTAATATATGTTTTCTTTTGTATTTGAGAATGCCTTCATGGTGCTTAGTGACCCTTCATCTTTAAGTGATGGAGAACAGACTTAATGGGCAGTAATTGAATTGTTTCTATTAGTTCAGAGATGTATGGAAATACATAGTCTGGAATATAGGTCTTTCACTTCTCATTACATTACAGGATTTTCAAACTATGTCTGTACTCTTAGCCTTTCAAAATTACCTGCTTGCCCTTTGAATTTTCTCTTCAGAGCATATTCTTAGGGAAAGAAGGGCTGCTACCTTGCACAACTCTGGGGCTCAACATTTCACATTGCTGTGGGATGCCATTAGTATAGAAGGCAGTGTGTTGCATAATGCGGATGTCTTGACAGGCTGGCTGCCCATCTGACCTCTGCCTTGTTTACCCCTGGTTCTAATCACCACCTACACAAACATTCAACTCATAGAAATGTACTCATTGGAGACAAAAGTTAGTCCTTTTTGACCTGTCTTCCTTAATTTAGTGAAGGCATCGGAGGGCACATATGTGCATACACATCTTAAAAATGCTCAGTGATTGGAGCTTCTTTTAAAATTTTTGGCACTGCTAAAATGTAGATATTCCTGGGAGGGGTGCCTAACATTGTTGCAGTGTTCATCTCAGTGCAACAGGGAGAGGAAGAGTAGGACCTTGGAGAAATAGAGAACAGATCCACTTGTGTGGGTGGGTAAAGAGCAGAAAGAAGCGGCCTAAAGGTTCATGAAATGGTAATTTTATTGGTGCTAACCTAGAGCCCCCTTCCTTCTTGCATTTATGGAAATATTTCTTAGACTTTCCATTAAGGCCTTTCAGGTTGACCTCTTTCTGAGGTTTTTTTCCTCCTGGTGCTGGGGATTCAACCCAGGGCATTGTGGGTGCTAAGCAAGCGCTCTTATTACTGAGCTATATCCTCATCTCAGTCCTGTTTTGAAATATGTATAGCAAATTCTTTTGAAGGTTTTTAGACCTGGCAGTAGAAGTAACTGCAGAGGGAACAATGATAAGGAGAGAAAGGGGAGTAGAGAAGGAACAAGCTATATTTCTCTATATTAGGCTTCTCAAATTAGTTTAATCCACACTATTAATGAATTTAATTTAAAATGTTCTTCTACAATTGATTTTAGATACCTCGTTTACATAAGTTAAAAGCCTCATCTGAAATCTTATTTCCATTCCATAATAAACTTGTTTTTATAGAAATTGGCTATATAAATTTCTAACTTGTACCTGAATACATTATTCTTAAGTTATTACTTTCTATTTTAGTTTATTATGAGGAGAACCTTTTTGTTTGTTTTGACTTTAAAACTGAGGGGAAGTAATAAACACTAATAGAAGTTACCATTTTAAAATGACAGTTTAGAATTTTTAGAAAACTGGCTAATGAAATCACATACTATGTTTTTGAGGTACAAGTGAATTGATTACATTTTTCTTAGGTCCTCTTGCCCCTAAGAAATAAAGGGGGAATGGTAGAGGGGAAGGGAAAGGGATTGCAAAAAGGCAGACAGAAACAGAACTAGATTCAGTTATTTGAGGCTAACTTGTACCATCCATGAAGTCTTCTTTAAATTGATAGTTTTTCCACACAGTACCACATATGACTCTGTAGTGATATGGAAAGATTTTTGGGCCATGTTAAGTGAAAAGAACAAGGTACAAGACAGTGTGCCTATACAAAAAAGGAAATAATACCTAAAGTGCTCTGTTTGCACAAAAATCTTGTCATGATCTACAAGATACAACAGTTATTGTGGGGATGGGTTGGAATGAGTGGTGGGCACAGAGGTATGTGTGAGACTTACCCGTTTATACCTGGTTATGTTCTTTTGTTTTTGAACCCTTAAATTTATTACTTATTCAAAGCTAAAACAATGTATTTTAAAAGGAGGAAAAAATGCTGTTCTTTGCCTTTAGCTTTTAAAAGCTTATTGTGTTATATTTCAATTTTAGAAAAATAGAATTAGTAAACTTTTTTTTTGTACTTAGCATTGAACCCAGGGAGTTGTACATGTTAAGCACGCTACCACTGAGCTACATCTCCAGCTCTGTAAACACTCATTTTGATTAGACTGTACACTTTATTCACACATAAAAATGCATAAAATTATTCTTACAATTACAGTGAGATAACAGTGTATACTACTTCTAAAAGGAAGTCTATGCTTTGCTGGAAATTTCCAAGCCATTTAGCACAGAGTATATATATATCAGGTTTATGTTGTAAATTATGATGGTTTGCCACTGTTGAGTGTATTGATAACCGATAAGCCACTTTAGTTAGCTTCTGAGCTCATCTGAAAAAAAAAGCAAACTCCCATGGTATTCTACCATTTTGCATTTTCAATTTAGTGTCATATATTCTTATATTAATTTTTGTGTGAAATATAAGATGAAGACTTGCCTTACAGGTGTGGTGGCACATACCTGTAATCCCAGCACTTTGGAAGGCTGAGGCAGGAGGATCACAAGTTCTAGTCCAGATTCTACACAACTTAGCCAGTCTCTGACTCACAATAAAAATAAAATTAAAAAAGGAATAGGGAATGTAGCTCATTGTGAAGGCACTGAGTTCAATTGCCAGTACTACCAAAAAATAAAACACACAAACTATGCCTATGTTGGATTAGGCACATAAAAAGAAATGTATTGTTAGGATATTCTCCCATTTTGAGACTGTATTTTGAAACTAAAATGTAATTTAATCAAGCAAATGTAAACATGCATTATAAAAAGCAAGAGAAATGGTAAGAAAAAAGAAGTGAAATCCTGTTGTACCTTTTTGGGGTCTTCTTTTAAAAAATTTCATAGGAATAGGGAATTTAAAGCAAATGACTTTTTGTATATGTTTTTGGTTTTTATTTTGTTTTATGTTATTTTTTGATGTATTTCCTCCACCAGTTTTTCCTCCTATTTCAGGAGGCCCCATTGAAATATTTATGGGGATAGGATGGAATTTTCTGGAACCTTGGAGTGCCAGATGAGAATAAAATTATGCTTTAGCTTTATTTATGGTAAAAACCCTTGAATTCTTTGGTGCTTTTAAGGATATCATTTGAAATGATCACTTAATCATAATAACTTAAATGTGGAGCAATTTAAGCTCTGGAACTCTTTGAGATAGGCCATGCCTCTAAGTTTTGTGTTTTTTTTAACTTCTGTTAGAACCCAGGGCTTTGCACCTGCTAGGCAAGTGCTCTACCACTGAACTATACTCCTAATCCTACCTAGTGTGGTGCAGCAGTAATGAGCCTTCACCTGTGCTAAGGATAGATAAATTGCAATTAAATATAAGCTGGTGTGAATGTTCAAACAGTGTGGGTGGTTGAAGTTCTGTTTAAAAGTTTACCTGAAGTTTAAGTTTTAAGTTAACTATTTTATTTGACAAAATTATGCTGTCTGGGGCCCTTTGTTTTTGCCTCCCATACTTTGTGTAGCAAATAGGAATGGTTTCTAGGTAATTAACCCCATTGTATAGAACCTGGGAGATCTAATATCTGTTACAAGAACCTTTGGGTTTTGTAAGGGATAGTCTACTCATGTTAGCTGAACACTGACTAGGAAATGGAACAGAACTTATGAGAAAACCCTTTAATGATGAAATATGCTTAGCAAGATAAAGGGTAGAAGTTGGTTCTTTAGTATGTATGGTATGTTATTGAGCTATGACATCTAAATAGTGATTTTTTTTTTTCTCAGTACTGGGGATTGAACTAGGGACCTTGGGCTTGGCAAGGCAGGTGCGGTGCCACTGAACTAAATCCTGGTCCTAAGTACTGATATTTTCATGTTTGAATACTATAAAATTAGAAATTTGGTCAGTAATTTATACTAATTTTTAATAGACAGGAATGATTGGTCTGAGCCATGAAAAAATAATCTTTTCTACCTGGAATTACCCTGGTTCCTCAACCAGTTCTTCTTAGGACATTTTTATTTTAAAATGTAGTTCATCAAAAAGACTCCTTTTGTATTTGTTCTGAGGATCAGTTTAAGAATAGCTTCAATATTATATTTAAATGCAATGATAAATACATATTTTTGTGGCTTATCAAAAATGGAAGGCTATCTGAAATGTTTTTATTTAATCATACCATGACATATAGTACAGTAAGAAATTTAGTGTGAGGAATTACCTTAATTAAAATGTTAGGGAAGTCTGAAGCTCTAAATTATCACTGGTTATCGTTTAATACAGCTCACATAATGATATATTTTATGGTCTTAATTTTTATATAAAAATCAAATTGTGATACTTCTTGGTATTCTCTGCATCTGTATTCAAAGTCAAATAAAAATAATTTTGAACTATTTTCTCATATTTGTTAAAATACATCAAACTTCCTGGTGAGTAGCTGTATTCTTATCAGCCAAGATAATTTACACATACAATCAGAAAGCTTTAGCCCAAGAATTGCTTTTAGTCTAGATTTTTCTTTGAGAAAAATCCTTTGTTAAGACAGACTGAACTGCTGAAATGAAATTGCTGTGGGAAACTGAAATTAGCAAGAAGGTAGTTAACATCAAATGTTTTTGGTTTATTTTAAAGTCTGGATATAGATCACGTTTGTATAAAATGTAATGAATTTTCCATTAAGGCACAGATGGTCAGGGTGCTTATCAAATAGCACAAGGCAGTCTTCACATTTTCATAATAAAATCATACCAAGCAGTGGAATGAATAATTGCTTTTTGGGGTTGTTTAGAAGGAACAAAGCTTTCTGGTTGATTTTCATGCTGAAATATTTTTCTATTGTATCATATGGACATGGATTACAAGTAAAAAAGATGGTATAAACCTACCTCTGGTCTGAAAGGATGCTGTTGAAGCGATGGTATCGTCTGTTTGTAATGCAGTCTAGTGCACAGCCAAGATGGAGCTGTGCTTCTATTGGTTGGATCACAGTGCAGCCGAGTTTTCCTCTATGTTCATTTGCATTAAGTCTTGCCACCCTGAAGAATAAATCATTCATAAACCTCAATAGAGCTGTCTGGGATATCAACTGTTACCCCCCCTTTTTTTTCTTTTTTAATCCTTAAGCTAAATTTCTGTTGGGAGTTACTAACAAATTGATGATTCCTTAGTGTTTACCTCTAAAATTTCACATTCTTCAGTGAGTATTTCAGTGCTGGGGCTAGAAGATAATATGAGGAGAGGTAGTGACCTGGGAAACAATGGTGTGGTTAACCAGCTCAGTATTTGCTCCAGGAAGTGTACATAATATCTCATAAATGAATTTCATTTTCTTTACTTTTTTGTCAATACCTGTCCAATATGTAAAGCTTGCTGTCTGGAAGTGATTATTTCCATCTGATGATTAGATTTAGAAGCAGTTCTGAGGGAAAAGAAGTAAGGTTTTCAGCTTTACAAGTTGGAAGAGAGTTTAGGTAGGTAAACACAGCCTTCATTTAAAAAGCAGTCTATGGGAGTTTATGCCTTTTAAATGGCAGAGTCATCTCCAGTTGAGAATGTTGTTCGGAGAGTGTTTTTAATTATGTTGTATTATTCAGAGTTTGGTTTAAACATAACAGGATCAGTTTTTTAATTAAAGAAATGACTGTTAAGTCACCAGTCAACTGCATATATCCTTGGTATGTACACTTGTTTTTTAAAATTGTAGATAAATTAGTAGATTAATTTCTGGGGCCATAAACGGGTACATGGAAATATCCTTATTACATTCATTCATTCATTTAATAAATGAATGTTGACTATGGTAGGCAGTGAATTAAGATCTGGAGACCCCATGATAAGCAATACTGTGGTTTATAATTGATCCTTTGTATAGTGTTTTTTAAAAAATATGTTGTCTCTTTTTCATAGTATTTCCAGTTAGCTTTTTTTTTTTTCTCTTTGTGAGACAGTCTTGAACTCATTGTTTAACTCAAGCTGGCTTTCCTCTTGATGCTCCTCCTGTCTCAGCCTCCTAAGTGTTGAGGTTACAGGTATGCACCACCACACCCAGCTCCAATTAGTTGTTTATACAGAAGTGTAGGATATGCTTTGTAGTATTTTATTAAATTAAACAAGGTAACATGAAATGCACATTAAAGAATTTCTGTGATCTGACAACATAGCTGGTTTCAAATGGAATTCTGTGTGAAGGCTAGTTAATAGGTCTTATACAAGGCAGTATCATAGGGTTTACAATCTACTTGGTCACTACCCTCAATTTTCTTATTTTAGAAGAAGACAATAATACTTAAATAGGGTTTTAGGGAGAGATTAAATGTGAAAATAATTTACCCTTGTATACGGCAAATAATAGAGGTTCAGTAAATGTTATTTTTATTGCTGCTTGTGTCCTGAACACCTTGGAAAACTGAACTATGTAGGTAATATTTGTAATTGAAATAGTGGCTGCAAAAGAATACCTATAGTCCTGATATTTTTGTTATTTTTGGAAAGAGTAGACTTCTATGTGTCAATTATTTGTCAAAACTATAACAAAGTGTTTTTGTTTGTTTGTTTTTCTGAGACAAGGTCTCCACTATAGTTCAGGCTGGCCTTGAACTTACTGTGTAGCCCAGGCTGACCTCCAGTTGGAGGGGATCCTTCTGCCTAAGCTTCCTGAGCGCTGGAATTACAGGCTCATACCACCAGACCCAGCAACAGAGTTATTTTTGTTTGTTTGTTTTTTTGGTACCAGGGATGGAACTCCGGGTCCTTGCCGCTTGCACAGCAGGCAGCGAAACCACTGAGCTAAATCTCCGGCCCAACTGAGTTATTTTTAAGGGCAAGTTACATAGGAAGTTTCATTTTAGTCTCAAAGCATATTCAATAAAGACTTTTCACTAACTATTCTCAAAGGAGTATTATGTTGTCATCTAAAAGCTGTTTGTTGGATCTCTGACAATTGTTACATTTGACTTGTGGATCTAATGCAGTCTTTTGTTTAAATGATTATTACCAAGTTGATGCCAAAGATTGGCTCCTCTTCCCCTTTTATTTAGCCTTTCTCTTTGTGGATCAACCACATGGGTAATTTATAGTATCTGAGCTGGTGCCTTGCTGATAGAATATATACTTCTAAGGGTTTTTTTTAGTATTTATGATTAATTCTTTAGTGTTCTTGGCTATGAATAATTGAATGTGTTTGTGATGCAATCATGGCATTAGGGTTTTTGCATACAACAAAATGATAGATCTTCTGAAACAAATTATGTTCTATAAAAGTCTGTGTCTCATTCTTTCCCTCGTCCTCGCTGTCTCTCCCTGACCCTCACTTGCTGTCTGTTTCTCTCTTCTCTCTCTGAGTTTACTAAAAAGTCTCAGAGAAATTGCTCATTTCTAGTGTTTTTAAGTTTTTGAAAAACTTTTGGATCAGATTGAGGTTTGTAATGTTCTCATGTCTAAGTATATGGGGAAAATCTAATCAAGTTTAAGGTAAGAGTAAAAGTACTCATAAAAAACTATAATGCTTTAAAATTATTTTTTACTTTGTTTCTGCCCTTAGTGAGAAAATAATTTAATATATACTCAAATATTTTGTTTTTCACCACAGTTTTAGAGGATAGAATTTTGAGATGAAAAACTCAAGTATTTCACTAATTTCAAATCATCTTGTTTAAATGTCATAACGTATAATATGAAATTGTTACAGTTGTCTTTTTTAAACTTAATTTCCAGATCATAGCAACGGATCATTTAACTTCAAAGCTCTATCAGGAAGCTCTGGATATAAGTTTGGTGTTCTTGCTAAGATTGTAAATTACATGAAAGTAAGTATTTTTCTCAGATAACAGAAATACTATTTAATATTTTAGCAAAAGGGGGGGATTACAATTCTCAACAGTTAAATTTGTATACACATGTCAAAATTTATCAAATTATACATTGTCAGTACGTGTAGATTATAGCTATTATACTTCAGTAAAACTGAAAATATGGAGTGCTCCCAGCCTTTTACACTATTTTAAATTAGCTTTGCAGCAATTCATGAAAGTATACTTAATTTGTAATAATTCAAGTGATTTAAAAGTGTGCCTAGGCAGTAGATGTGTCAGCGCTTAAATTGTCCATAACTCCTGGCAAAATCAGTTGGAAGGTAAGAATGATTTCTAGAGACATTATGTCCATTGATGTGAAATGTAAGAACCACATTGGTCAGGCAGATGGAGTTGTTCCTTCTTGGATGAGAAAATTAGGGGATTACTGAGGGTCTTAGAATAATATTGACTTACAAAAGAACTACAATTTACTATTTGGAAGATTTAGTATTTTTTGAAACTTAAGTTTTATTCATAAAGATTTGACTTTAGTGAAAGCTTTGAATCTTAATTTCATTTATTAATATGAAATTTCACTTCTACTAAGATGGCAAAGAGATTTGAAATTTGCCTCCTTCTGCCAGACTCTCATTCCCATTCATTTATCAGTTTTATCTCTTGAAAAAGTAAAGTACTGTATTTGTTTACTGTTTTAATCTCTCTCATCTGTTGCCTAACATACAAATTAGGATTTTTCTTTTTTCTTTTTTGGCTTCAGGGTCTTGCTATGTAGTTGAGGCTGGCCTTGAACCCACTATTCCAGGTTGGCCTCAAATTCACGGCAATCACCCTGCTTCAGCCTCCCAAGTGCTGAGATTACAGGCATGCACTACCATGTCTGGCTAAGGCTTTTAAATATACTAAGGCTTCTCTTTTATAGTTTAAGAGTCTTGATGTCTGGCTATGTTTGAATTATGTGGTCTGTGTTTGACTGCTAATAGAAATATATTAGTTTGTAATTTCCCAGTATCAAATGTGATATAGTTTGACACTTAGTCACCATTCATTCATTCCATTCATCCAGTCCTCCATGTGGTAAACAAATATTAAAATTTGCTATCTGTTACTTATAGTACTGTTGGTGGAAATACCCAGAAAAAGTGCATCCTTCAGTTTGAGAGAGGCCAGCATTGGAGTTTACTTACTTGTAACTAACTTTGCCTGTATAGAACAACAATCATCAAGTGTTTTATTCAAATGTCCCCTACAACACTTTGAGAAACTGTGTATGCCTTTGCACATATTTAAATTGAAAGTTGCAATATTTGAGCTAAAGTTTAGCAACATTATTTAACCAAAAGTTTAAAAGGTTACCAGAAATACGAAACTTCTGGCATATTAAAATATTTCTATCAGGTATATCACTTTTAAATTTACCTAATAGATGCTAAATGTTATTAATTTAAAAATATAAAAACAAACCTAAGTGGTTGAAAATTTTAATTGTTTTTCTTTGAATTTGTATATCCTCTCTGTTACTGTCCTTGAATTTTATCTTTCAGACATCTTTGCCACAATAATATAAATTGAAGTTAAAAATGTTTTTCAACTGATCTCAAGGATGTAATTATTAAAAATGTCTTCTGATTTGTTACTTTACAGTTATTATGTATCAGTCAGTGCTTACTAGAAAAACAGATTAAATGCCAGATATTCAAATATATAAGAATTTATAAGATTGGCTTACAGTGGCTGCCTGCAGAGTCAGGTGTGGAAAAGTACAGAAGGTCTGTTTGTGCGCTGGAGATCTGAAGGATCCAGTTGAAGTCCTGGAGCTCACTCTAGTATTTCATGTGAGTCCGAATCAGAAGGCCGAAGGGTCTGTGATCAAAAACTGAAGGGTCTCCACTGGAAGCCAGGAGAATGATGTCCAAGGCAAAGGTGAAGACTGGAGCTCCTCTGAAGAAACGGAAGCAGTCTTCCTTATTTGATTCCCTTTTATGACAACAAACCTATTGATTGCTATCACTCACACCCAGGGTGGGTCTTCTGTCTTCACTAAATCCCTTCAGGCACACCAGAACTATGCCAATCCGTTTTAGTTAGGTGATTCTTACTCAAGTTGATAGTCAGTTAACTACAGTATCACAGTCCTCCCCTTGTCAATTTGACAACCAGACACACTCCCTTAAACCCTAGTCTTCAGATACAGAGACTTCATAATTAGGCCTAACATGTTAAAACTATCCTGCGTACAAATGGAAGTGCACTAATTCCCTCCAAGAATAGAAGCCAAGTTTTCTTTGGGTGACTTGAATATTATAGCATAGGTTTAACAATACTTAAGAACAAATACTAAGTCTGTTAACAGTACATTACATAGGAAGTGTTTTAGGAGAGAACTACAATTTTGTTTCTGTAACTGATCAT